CCAAAACTGGAAGACACAACAAAAAGCTAATTTCCTTAATATGGTCTGAGCTAAATTGTTCTGAACTTGTGAAATTTAACAATATCATAAAGCTCAAGACCATGTGAGTGCCTTGCAGTAGAAGAAAGGGTTGACAGAGCACAGTCTTCTTGAGCCAAGTATTTCCTCTGTTACTCAAACTGCTCTTAATGCTACAGTTCCAAGATTAATGTCCAAACTCTGGAAGTCATTTCTGATTTAGAAATCAGAAATGCAAGCTACAAAACTTGTGTGTGTCCATTTTTTAGTATTTGTAAGCTACCTTAAGCCACTGATGTGATGAATTAGCTTAAAATACCAAGACACGCTGCTCTTCACAAAAAAACTTAATATTACTCAGACACTCCTGGCAGAGTCTCAAGCTGAAAAGGAGTAATGTAATCAGAATAGAGAAAGAGATGTTTGCAGCTGGCCGGACTGGAAGGAGGAAACATTAGAATGGAAAAAAAAAAACATGGTAGGGTGACATTAGGCCTGGTGAGGAAATAACAGAATATAGTATTTTTGCCTAAGAACAGTCAACACTTGCATGCAGTGTCTTTCACCTACCTCACTTCTTCCATGTGATGGCTCCCCCATTTCTTCTTTGAAGCAGATGTACGAATATTTGAATCTACTACATCAACATAAGCAAAAGGGGGGAAAAATAGTATTCCTATTTAGAACCTGAGAATTAGAATACTTGTCACAAAACACTTTTCCTTAAAACTGTTTGGTCACAGAACAATTGTTGATCAACTAGACAAACATAATAGATATGATGATGTGTATCAAACTAAAACATCATCCTTCTTGAAAATAAGATGGAAAATGTGAGACATAACAGCTGCTTTATACTCTTCATTTGTGTATTTTTCACAATAAATAGAAAAAACATTTTTAAGATCATAGTGGTATTGGGAGAGCTAGATTCTAAGGCTTTCTTCACCCATTTGAGCAATAGTCAGGAAATCAGTCAAATCACCTTGACTTACATATTTATTGTCGCAATTCTAATAGCAAAGAATATTAATACATTGGGAATCCTAGGAAAAAATCTGGGATCAAGTTGTCATAGGGAATGGACATATGCTAGTTGTCTACATTCACCGCTGAATGCATATGGCTATTTGCACTAAGAGCAAAGCAATTCAAAGGTCAGTTCCCTCAATCATTCCATAACACATGGTAATGACACTGTATTAGATGATGTATAGGAATATGCTGCCTTTACCTCACTGGACAGACACTAAGCTTATACTCAAAATTTCTTTGAGAGTAACATGTTCCTTTTCTTTAATGTTAGCGGAACTCCTACATCTCCTCACTGCATATGTAGGTCTGGTTTTGAGAAAGAGTCATCCTTTTGGACAACAACACTGGAACTAATAAGGATAAATATTCTTTCCACACCAGGCAGTGCTACCCTTAAGCTTGAACTAACATTTCTTGGATTTTCTCAGCTCTTCTTGATTCCATTCTTTCTCTTTCAGGATGACACGCTCACGGAGCTTCCCAGTAATGTGTTCTATCAGTGAATGGCGTTTTTGAAAAATCTCCCGCTCGGATGCTGTCAGTACATGGTATGGTGTGTTAGCAATTCTCCTGTCCTGCAACACACCAAAAGTTAATACACAAAAAGGAAGGAGAACACAAATCTAACACATAAGTGTTTCAAACTTTAAGCCAAACCAGTCTAAAAGCACAGTAGCATCCTGGCTTAATCCTGGCACAGGAAATTTCCACATTAAAAATTCTAATTATTCCAATTATCTGTTCCTCGAGTGTTCAGCAAGTTAACAGACAATTTTTCTTCAAGGGGGAAGCTTCTGTCATTTTCCAGTGTTCCCCTTCTCTCCCAGAAGCACTGGGAACACAGGAAATCTTCCTGAAAATGGAAAGACTGCTAGAGGGCACTGTTTTGTCACTATTAAGTTTTTCTATTTCCCAAAATGTTTTCAGGTAATGCTAGCAGTGAGCGTACTAGAACCAAGATGCAAAAGCCTAAGGCATACCAGAGCAAGCCAGGAAAGAAAAAAAGAAGATACCTGGAGTACAAGGACCAGGTATGGCTTGTGATTACAACTACTGATTGTTTAATTTTGTTTCCTATTTGAGGATGAATTGTGATTGCAAGTCAAAGAATAACAATTTAACTACATGAAACAATGGGGGATGCAGAAAACCACATTAGCTCCAAGTAGGCTGCTCTGTCAGGAAGATGTAGTGATGGATCCCACATCCACAGGGTTGTTAGTCCAGAATGGTGCTTGGGGGTACAGCTCATTGCTCATTCTGAAGTAGCTTGAGAGTGGCTGATCAAGGTACCCAAGGGTCACCATTACTTCTGCTCTTTTCAGAACATCTGCTGTTCATGTCCCAGAAGCAAGTAATCTTCTGTACAACATCCTATCCCCGCAGTTTCCTAGTTTAACATATGAAATAATTCTCTATTTTTGTGTTATTGAATAGATGATTCTCTCAAGAACCAGACCATTTAATCTCTGAAGCTGCTGAGAAACAAAGATTTTTTGTCACGTAAACTTTCTTATTAGCAATAAAGCAACAAAAAAATACTTATATGACCAAACATCAAAATAATTTCTAATTAGAAATTGTTATATTTTTTTTTAAAAAAAAAAGCAAATACATGCCCCTAACCACCACCAAAGAAAAGAACACTGGACAGAAAAGTCTTAGTTTTATGTCACTGTTTCTTTGTATCCATTTTATCCCTTTTATAAGGGATCTGTAAGGTTTTTTTAATAAGGGATTAATGAATGATTATGGATGACTTTATAAAAGAGATAACCCTTTTTTTATAGCTTGGTTGATCAGTAATTTATTATCATAGGTTTTAAGACATTTGTATTTATTAGCTAATATACATGTATAACTCATTACAACTCCTGAATTGATTGAGCTTCATGGAAACACATGTTAATTCTAGTTTTAACAGCTAGATGCAGAGTTACAGCCAGCTCTTTAAAAATCAGTTGTGAATGTAATCTTCTGATAAAACATGACAACAATAATTGTCCTCACAGACAAAACTACTAGAGGTAGTCAGTTTCACAGCAAATGAAATGAGTCTCAAAACCAGCTAAGGGTAAAGTAAATTTTGAATGAAAACTTCTGAAAACAAGGCTCAGGATAAGTCCTAAGAACAGCCTGTTTGTTCTAACAGCTGCAAAGAACACAGTATCTTCAATTATGGGATCTGAAGTCATACCTGATAGTATTCAAAATAGGCATAATCAACTGCTGTTCCGACTGCTTTTTGCCGTCCTTCCCTAAGAGTAACTGGTGCAAGGATATCCGCACCAGCTTCAAGCAGCTTATCAACCTAAAAAAAAAATAATGATAATAAAAAAAGCAAAATATTAGGCATACAGCTTTCTAACTAAATTGTGTCCATGCCGCAGTTAGAGAGATCAGAACTTAACCTCTATTTGTGTGGCTACTTTGTATACCGAATTGTGCATTTCTTCTGCTACTGGCAAGTCGTTGATGTACTGCCAAATCCAAATGTTTTTTGCAAGTAAAACCTTCTTGGAGGCAGTTGCTGTTTGTTTCTGGATATCTCACAATCTAACCTTGCAGGAACAGAGGAGGCATGGCAAACTAGTGAGGTACGAGTGGAACAGAACCCATCTGGGGAAATCACCTTCCCTCCCAGTCCACCTTAACTGCAGCGTTGCTTCCATCTATTCTCAGTGAGATCTGCACTGTGTTTTGTGGCAGGAGGAAAAACCTCCAGTTTTTACAAGGCCAAATGCTTCTGCTGACCTCATCATAGTTGAGAAAGGTATCAACTACTTTACCTAGCAAAATCAAAGGCAATTCATCTTTCTTCCAGTGGACATCAGCTGTTTTTAAAGGTAACAGTCAGATCTGACAGGGCCATGGGCATGACCACAGTCTGCATCTGCTTTAAATGCAGTTGTTTCTCTTTCACACAAAGTGGTTGTTATAGTTTCACTCAAACATGAATACAAATTTCCTTACAAAAACTCTGTTCCTTAGGAGAGAAACAAATGGCATTTGGAAGAGACACAAAATAATTTTTCTGGGAAAAAAAAATCAGCTTATCCATTGAAAGGAAATGAAAAACACTGCTTTTCCTGAATTTAAAATAAAAATAAATAAATACAAAAGTTCTCTCACCAAAGCAATCCTCTGAGCTTTTGTTCTCTTGTGCTCATATCTGATACTGACAGCTGTACAGAGGGCACTTCTTACTGTTCCGCTTAATGGTAGATTCGGATCAGACCCATATTTGAGGAGTTCAGCCACTGCCTGACAATGCAACCGACAGTTGTTGGAGATGCATATTTGACAGTTCCAGTGATACCCTGGCCAGAATAACAATCTATATGGTAGAACAGGTTGCCTATGGGACTTTCCATTCAATGGGATGTCCTGAAATTTCATTGTTTCTATACACACAAATCAGAGATTTAGTAAACTCTTTTTCTCAGAAAAGTGCTTAAATTTTCTTTTAAAAGAAACAAAGACAAAAGAAGGAAAAAAGTGATTCAGACATTCGATATAGAATCTATTTTCTATTGTATATGTTTGCATCTATTTCTAATGCATTTATGTTCACAGTCCATACTCTAGCGCGCTATTATATTGTATCCAGTTCTATATTTATACATGATTGATAAATTTGTTCTGAAGTGAGCATAGTTAAAAAGTATCAATCTACAATGGCTCTTTTTTATTATAATATATCATTAATCGTACTACACAGCATAAAGCTTGCAATGAGAAAACAAAAGATAAAATTTTGATTTCATCAGAAACACTGGAAGAGTTTTTTTCCCCTTGCTTTGTTCAGAACTGCATTTCCAAGACAATAGCTGACTGAATTATTAGTCTGCTTTTATACGGGAAAGAGGACCAGAGAAATAGAAATCAGACCCAAACCCTCCTCCTATCAACTTATTGTCTGAACCACTGGGCAGTCATGCTTGCTCCCTTCCTCTTGTTCTTCCCATGGCCCCGTGCTGTTTGGCTGCCTGCAGAACGGCTCACTTCACGGGGCTGGCTGCATGCAACTCTTACCCAACCCCACTCTCCTCTTTCAATTTCTACAAAGAGGATGAACAGGAGTCTGGAGCTCTATACCCAGAGAAGCAGAGTGTTGCAGACAAACCGCTTTGCAACCATTACATGTTCTGCTCGTACACTTCCTCTCACAGCATGCTGGCTGCTGCAGACCCACCCTTACAGGACTTCTCTGAGCAGACAACCATTCTCTGCTCAGAGAAGGTAGGTGCTTACTTCACATATTGAACTCTACAGAGAGAACTCCCCATCTGTGGAATGCTGAACCATTGTGCATAGATCCTTTCCAAGTCCGATCATTGATCTTTTCTTGGAAAAGCGTACTCCTTTCCCTAACTACTTTTTTTTTGCCTTATATCTGGAAGCAAACTGTTTTTACATTTGACTGGGATGATTTGGGTGGTGAGATAGCCTGTAAAAGAACTGCATGTTCTTGTGATTCATAAAAATGGATACTGTTCTCTGAATGCTGTACTCTTGTGAATCTTAGCAAGTATTTCTACCTATCACTCTCATTCTACAGGGCTCCTCTAATTCAGCTCATGCAACACCCACAGGTTTGAAAGAAAAGCAAATGCAATACTTTCACTGGGAATGAATTATGGCAAGCATCACTAGCTACCCAAGTTTGTGTATCATCAGAGAAGGCAGAGACAAACAGAGAAGTACAATACACATAAAGAGGAACTCAAAGATGCTCACCAAATCATTCCCACTGGCAATTGCTAAGGAAAGTGGTGAATGGCCACTCCACAGTGTGTTTGGATTTGCGTTATGCATCAAGAGGAGGTGGATAATCTCTCTGGCATGCTGTGTTGGAAGATGCAGAAAAAGATCATAATAACATTTTCTTTTTCATATAATATATATGTAATTATAGTGAACAAAATGAGCAGCATAAAACACATTCAAACCTTTCATCTAAGTTATGATCATAATAAAACAGAGATACATTTTTGCTTATCATTGCTAAGAATGCCAAGCATGGTAGTGTTGTACATAAACCTCTTCATCAGATTACCAAACACCATTACCCCTGTTGTCAAAGGGTACATATAAGGTACATTTCTCTCAAAAAAAACTCTCCTTCCTCCAAGTGCACACCTCCTAAATCTGCTAGGAGAATGTTACTATGGTAGAAACCTAAATGCTCAAAGAGAAGCATATAGGAAAACTCAGATTATCCAGTTTCAAACTGGCCTCATAGACAGTAAAACTTAATGGCCAAGTCATTAATGGAAACTTAAAGGAATTTCCCATGTTAAACAGAGTTCTAAGAACTTAATAAATATTTTTTATTCAAGTGCTAATGGATTTTGGATTTTTAATTAATACAACACTGATAATTCACTGATCTGGAAAAGAGTTCATCTCTGAGGTTCAATCACCTCCTTACGGAGGGATAAAATGTGTTAATTCCCCAGATACAACATCATTTGAGGAGTTTAGCTTGTAATTCCTCTCACTGAGCAGAATCTCAGGTGCCATGCTCTTACCTCACAATTATCCTCTCTTTCACATGCGATATGCAATGCACTCCTTCCACCTTCTTCTGGAACAGGACCACTATAGGAGGAGAAGTACTCTTTTGGAGGTCCTGTTTCATTCTTCAGGTGCACAGTGACACCACGAGACAGTTTGACTTCTCTAGTTTGAGGCAGAGGAATCTAAGTGAAATTATGTGCACATTTATAACATAGTTCAGAGAGAAACCAAAGAAAATAAACTGTTTGGTCACATATAGATCTGGATCTCAATCTTGGACAAGACTTGTTTAGTCCCACCAAAACAATGGTCACCTCTTTTCTAATTCTTTCTTTATGTGTCTATAAGTACCTCAAGGGAGGCAGTGAGGAGGATGGTGCTGGCCTCTTTTCAATGGTGGCCACTGACAGAACTAGAGGAAGTGGCCGGAAACTGAAGCACCAAAAGTTCCACAGGAACTTAAGGAAAAATTTTTTAACCGTGAGGGTGACAGAGCCTTGGAACAGGCTGCCCAGAGAGGTTGTGGAGTCTCCTTCTCTGGAGATCTTCAAAACCCGCTTGGATGCAGTCCTGTGCCACGTGCTTTAGGTGACCCTGCGTGTGCAGGGGAGGTTGGACTAGATGATCTCTAGGGGTCCCTTTCAACCTTAAGCATTCTATGATTCAGATTCCAACTACTTTAATTATCTTCAGCACTGCACATGAAGAAGTTTAATAAAAATCACCGTAGAAACCCAGGGAAGGCAAACCAGATTTACAGATTGAATTTAGTAACTTTTGCTGGCACAAATGACACAGTGAGGCGTGGGAGGAAAATAGCAGGCTGTCAGGCAGAAATGGTCTTCCTTAAGTTCATTCACATGTCATTCATTTATCATGAATAAATCTAGGCTTACCAGATCAATATAGAAAAATAAAAATTAAAGTAATTTTGTCTACATTGCTTCTAATCATGTTGTAATTGTAAACTATCTGAAAATAGCTACCAAGTCACCCTGATTGCTATTAAAGGAGAAAGTACTGAAATACAAACTGAAGAAGACATCTGAACTTCCCTGGACTGCAAAAAGACATCACCTTAGCGTTGTCATATCAAGAAAAATCTCATTACATATGCTAACTCATTTTTCAAGTGACTTGGACCTGACTGGATGTCAGAGAACTCATCAATGACATTGCAAAGTCATTATATTTGCAATGTCAATTATCTTTGAAATGCCATGGCAACCATTTGAAGTTCCTGAGAACTGGAAGAAAGTAAATGTCCACTCCTATATTCAGGAAGGGCAAGAAGAAGAATCTGCAGAATTACATCAGCCTCATTTCAATCCCAAGGAAGGTCATTAAGCACATCCTCTGGGAAGCCATTTCCAAAAATATTAAGAACAAGAAAATGAATCAGTTCGGAGTCATGAGTTGGATTTACAAAGGAGAAATCATACCTGAACAACTTGATATCCTTCTGTGTGGGAATAAGGACTAGGAGGAAAAGTTGGCCAGGGCTAAGCCATTAGCAGTTAACAAGGAACACTTGGTGAGATATAAGCAGCACCTGGGAAGGTGGTGGAAAAGGTAGAGAAGCGAGGATATAAGGATCACCTGGGAAGATTGCCAGGTAAGGGAGAGGACCCTGGATGAAGAAGAGGTAGTGGGGGCCTCTTGGTTGTTGCTGCTGCCACCAGCTCCTCTCTCTGTTTTCCCACACTTCTGCAAGAAGATAAGCAGTTTGGTAAAGCATGAGAGAACTGTGGATGTTATTTTCCTTGATTTTAGTAAGGCAACATTGCCTCCCAAAACATGTTCATAGACAAGTTGATCAAGTACAGCTTACTTAAATGAACACTGAGGTGGACTGAAAACTGGCTGAACTACCAGATTTAAAGAGTTTGATCAGTGGCATGAAGTTCACCAAAAGGCCAGTCACCAAGGGTGTACCTACAAGGGTCAATATGAGGACAATCCAGTTTACTACTGTTAGTAATTTGCCTAGATGAAGTGGCAGAGGACATCCTCAGCAAGTTCGCTTTTTCCCTGGGGAAGACTAACTGTGCACCTGTACATGCAGGAGGCTGACCAACTGAAAAGCAGCTCTGTGGAAAAGAACCTGGTGCTTCCTGGAGGACAGCAAGCATGGGCCAGCAATGCTCTTTTGCAGACAAACAGCATCACGGGTAGCATTCAGAAGGAATGTTACCAGCAGGTAGAGGGAGGTGATCCTTCCCCTCTGCTCTGTCCTGGTGAGGCCACCTGGAGTGCTGTGTCCAGTTCTGGGCTCCTCAGTACAAGACAGACAGGGAGCTACTGGAGCAAGTTCCACACAGGACCACAAAGAGGATTAAAGGACTGGAATATCTCTTATGTTAGGAGAGGCTGAGAGATCTGGGATTGTTTAGCCTTCAGAAGATAAGGCTCAGGGGGATGTTAGCAATGTGTATAAATACATGATGGGAAGAAATAAACAAGATGGAGCCTTATTCTTCTCCGTGCTACCCAGTAGTAGGACAAGAAACAATGAGCATGAATTGAAAGACAGGAAATTCCACTTAAACAGAATTAAAAAAAAAAAAAAGTTTTCCCATTAAGGTGATCAACACTGGAGGAGGTTGTCTAGAGAAGTTGTAGAGTCTCTATTCTTGAGAATATTCAAAACCCAGCTGGACAAGGTCTTGAGCAATTTACTGCCATTGATCCTCCTTTGATCAGACAATCTTCAGAGGTCCCTTACAATTTCTCAGCTGTTTTGTAATTCTGTGAAGTGATTTACATACTATATCATAAAGCAATTCCTGAGGTAATAAATTCCACAAATAGCACTTTTTGCTGGTATAGTTCTGTCAAAGGTAGAAAATTTTCATTAAAAAGATGGCAAACCTAACCAAAAAATCCTGGGCTACCAGAAACATTTATTAGCAGAGCTTTCTGGAATGCTGGGGGCCCGGTGAATGCTGCAAGAATCCAGCAGAGAGAGCCTGTGTTCAGGGAAAACAAAACAAAACAAAACCAAGTAGGCAGGCTCCATGGAAATGAAACCAGCAGCTCCTGTATGTATTTGTTTTTGACAGTGATCCTATCTTCACTGATGTCATTATACCTTTGGTATAATGGCATTGGTACTAGACTGCCCACAAGAGACTTTTAACTTCTGCCTTACGTGACACATGTCAGTATGTTTTCTGTGGCATCAAAACACAAGGATGTGTTTACTGTAATGCAATAATAAAGACCGTGAGTGACTTTTTTTTCCTTTTTAAACTTTTTTAAAAACTTTTTTTAAAGAAACATGGTTATTCCAATAGGATGCAAAGATTTCAGGGAAAGCAAACAGGTTGGATGCTCATCTACCTGCTGATGTATTATGCAGCATTCAACAGCTGCAAGAAGGTGAGCTCACAAAGGAACATACCTGGTCTGGACCATATCCCTCATTTCCATCTTCTGCTCTTGCATCAAGATCTGGAGCAGAATGCAGGAGGTACCGTGTTATTTGGATCCCTTCTTCCCCAGGAAGAGATGCAGCTATGTGGAGAGGTGTTAAACCACCTAACTGAAAAACCAAACCAAACAAAACAAAAAAAAATTGCAATAAAACTCCTCTTTACCACAGTAAGCTAAACACAATCCTAAATATTTTCAAAAGAATAATCCAGGCTTCCTCTTCCCACATACTCTGTCCCATTTTCAGACAGCACAACCCTATAAATTGAGTTATGGGACAATGGAATGCTGAAGGCCCCAGATACTCAACCTACCAAAATCACAATAGTCATTACCAACTTGAGCAGCAGCTTCATTAGCATTCCCCAGTCAGTCATAGGCTTGGCAGCAAGGAATGAGGAAATGAAAGGAAATGAGGAAAGAAAACTCAGAGAATATGTAGCTTGCGTTCCTTCTATAAAACACTTCTTTGAACTGTTTAAAGATCAGTTAAAGATCAGTAAAGATCAGTAAGTTTAAAGATCAGTTTTGTTCATTTTAACGCTGATTCCTACTTGCAGGATATTTTAAAGTAGGACACTCATCTAGAATCCTACACCATTATCTATTATAATACAATAAAACCTTCGGTGGAAGGCGCACATCACTCCTGGCTCCCCTTTCTAAGAGGAGTTTTACTGCTTCTGCATCTGCAGCTTTAACGGCAAAGAAGAGAAGGGCTGATGGTATCCTGCACGCATTGGGATCAGCACCTCGTCGAAGCAGCAGCTGGATTGTTGTCCATCTCTTCTGCTGTCTAAAGTTGACATGGAAAATACCAGAATCACTCATTAGTGTATTGTGAAAAAAAAACTATGGTGAACTAAGATGATTCCCCTTTGTAAAAATTAAAAATGTCATTTGGCAGAGACAAGAATTAATTTTTCTGAGCAGTGTCACAGCAACTGCTATGCTCCACCCAGGCAACAGTATTATTACCTGAAGAGGATATCTCATCTCTTCAAACTAAAAAGGCAGCACTCAAAAGCAGTCCCTTTCAGTTGTATGGAAATATATAGGCAAAGCAAGATTCCCTGCATCTCCACTATTCATTCATGTGTCACTTTAAAACACTTAATCTGAAACTTGTTTATTGATAGAAATAGATTGGCTCCTCCTTCCTGCCATCTAAGACTGGCTGCAGGATTCTTTCTGCTGTCGTAGTCCATTCATCCATCCCAAGAAAACAGAGATATTATTTCAGTGCTTCCCTTACAAAGAGTGGAACAAGAGCTGTGCTAGACTAGGACAGTGCATTTCAGCAGGCTAACTGACAATTCCATTTGCATTTCCATGGAGGCAAAATTGACATGCACACTCCTAAAAAAAAATCTAACACTTCAAAAAAAGCAAACGGTCTTTGAAAATCACCCGGAGGCTCTACCACAAAGCGGTCTGGGCAGAGACTCGTCTCATTTTTACCCGCAAGCCCCATATTCAGCACATTTTTATATTCCAGTGAAAAACATGCAATACACGCAATATTTAGACAAGAAGCTAGGAACATGGAAAGATGTGCCACAAAAGTCCAAAGGGCAGGAAGGCCAACAGGGAATTTCAATTGTTAGAATTCTAAGATATTAAAGTCACTAGTGCTGGCATAAAACCCAACAAAAGAAAACATCATCTTTAGAGACTGCTCTGCAAAATGAAAGGCGAGACGTGGCCTTTTAAGGGATCCATAAAAGCAAAGCAAAAAGTCTAAATTTAAACCATCGTGCTAAACAGACACCTGTAGAAAATGACCAGCAAGGTCAAATGTAGTCAAGACTTCAAAGAATAAGGGAACATATTCTTATCTTTCCTAATGCACTGTAGGTGTCTATAGCAGCCTATGACAAGCTGCAGAGCATGTAATTAAGAAATCTTGTCTTATTCAAGCATGATGTCCTTAATTTGAACCATACTTTGCATTTTCACTCTTCACACTTTGCCAAACAGAATTATGACAGAGCATTTAAACCAGTGGCTTACACTGATATGAACACAGAATTTTTCTAGTTAAACAAAAATCTATCTAGCTTTTCCTGCAATAGCTGTATCCTTCATTGTTGCTTTCTTTGTTCAAGGGATTTATAAGACTCTGTCTCCCATTCATAGGGAATAAATGAGACTTACTCTAAGATTGTACCTTCAGACAAATTAGTTGTTTCTGCTGGTTCTGATTGCTCATTCTACTTGAAGATTAAAAAGATAAAAGAAATCAGTTAGAAAAAATGAAAATGACTTAGTATCAGTCAGTCACCAGAGTAATAACAATCAAAAATAGTAATACAAGAAAATATAATAACAAAATTTGGTTAATGATAGGGATATCATTCAGAAGTAGTTCGCAACTATATTTTAATACACCACATAACTGATCATTTTTTCTTGATTTCTATTGTGAGTAAAATATGTTTAAAGGTGTTACCATTTCTTCAAGTATTCATTCATTATCTAGCTTAGAAGAAAAATGCCTCTGAAATAAAACAGGACTCTCATACTGTCTCTTCAATCTTCATTAACTTGCGTAAGAATGTAGAACTAGGACCTAGAAGCTCAGTGTTTCCAAATCTTCTAGATTCACAGTCAACTCAGAGGAAAAAAGAAAGCACCATGTAGTTTGTATTCTTACAAAATAGGTATCATGTTCCTTCCCATGACAATTTAAAGTAGGTGCTTCTCTTTTCAGCAGGTGGAAGTCTAGGATCATGAATCTTCCTTTGTAAACACCTCGTAAACACCTTCTTACTGTCAAGAGAGTCCTCTGACGGTCGAATTGCTTCGTGCTTGCCACTTCAGGTATGCCAGCAGGACTCCGTCCTAACAGGAGAACCACCCAAATCACCTTGTCCTGCTTGTATGCTTTTGTAAATCCCTCCGATTGCTCACTGCATCTTTACTGTCAGGCCAACACAGCCTGTCTTCTCTGTGATTAACTCAGTGCCTTAGTTCAGTTGGAGAGTAAATTTGTTACTGCCTGGAAGTTGGTAATTTGAAGTAAGAGTTAGTAGTGAGATCAGAGACTACTGCATCCTCAGAGTGAAAGAGGTACAAAAGTTCTGGCTTTTTCCTAGCAAGTCACCACAGTTAAGTCATTCTGAGAAGTAAACTTACATCTTGAGGCAAAAATATAATCTAAAAAACATTTTAGATTAGAAATAAACCAACCTCGTATCTGTGCAAGTTCCTCTCAGCAATATTACCCTTAAAAGATTCTGCTGGATAATACAGAATAAAGCACATAGAGAGAGCAGATAATCCTTCATCACTGCACTTATTCACATCAGCTCCACTATCAAGAAGAAGATTGACAATATCATTGTGGGAACTAACCTGCAAAGAGGAAAATGCTTCAGAACATTGTTTTATTTTGTAAACATCTTATACTTGCACATACACACACTTGCAGTTTTCTAAGTGGAAAGAATACACAAGGTAGTTTGAAAGTAGTGAAAGCCAACACTGTTAAACTAATTCAAGTTTATATCTGCCACAAAATGCAAACACAATCCTGAACCATGCCTTACGTGTTTATCTTTCAGCATTTTCAAGTACATTCCTGCCCTTGCTCTTGTTTATAACAATTTCTACCAGATTTCATGGGAATTCAATGAGGATTCACATACAGAAAATGATTAGAAGTGACTGAGATGATTGTAGAGGAAATACAGTGCCCTAAATTATTATCTAAATTTTCCCACACTTTTACATGCCAGGTATTCAGGCAGCTGAAAAGGCACAAAGAAAAGGGAAGATCATCTTCCCCTACAGCAAGTCATGCGTGTACCATTTCTAACCACCACCTCTTTTCAGCAAAAATGAAATAACCCTGTCTGAATGTGATTACAGATGAACAAGAAAAAAACAGTAAGGGCAGGATCATAAATGGAAATTAAACTTGACAGTTGAAACATTCTTTAATTTTACTAAAGTGTTTTTTTGTAGATTATTATTTAATTATTATATTTATATATATTTAATATACAATAATATTATATATATAATTATATTCATTGGCATGATATATTCATTACAGACATTTCTCATGCCACACATGCTCTTTTGTTCTTTATCAAACATTTTCTTCACACTTACTATGTAATGGAACAAAAGAAAATCTAATCCAGCCTACTGTACCAGGAATTTTCTCATCATATGGAAAGGAGTCATTCTTAGAGCCTTACAGCAGCAGCAGCAAGTGCTGTGTATCCATGTTTGTCTGCTATGTCTGGATGAGCAAGCTCATCTCGCAGAATTTTATAGACCCCGTCAAAATCTCCCTTTGCTGCCTTCTGAATTAATTTCTCTGAAGCAAGCTCCTTGGGGCCTGGAGGCCCATAAGTATTGCGGACTCCACTGAGAATGTGTTTAACATCTGAAGCAAACTCTGCTTCACAGCACCTAGCAAAGGACAAAAAAAACACTGAGACACTTAAGCAGCTAGGCACTCTTAGGCCACTAATGCAATTAAAGAAGAAAACACATCAAGAACAAAACATGTTTCTGGGTAAGATGGGAAAATAGGCACAGCGATCATTTTAAGAATGCTTTCAGATAGCATAATTTTGCTTAAATTACAAGCAGAAAAGCAAACTGGTGATGGGGTTCCCAACATCTAAAAATTAGAAAATAAAATATGAAATTGCCAGGCATTTCCCAACACCTAAGAATTAGAATATAAAATACGAAATTGCCAGGCATTTATAAAAACAGAAGATTTAGCATTCACATTCATATCTGTTTAGTATCTGATTTATATCACTAGCTTTAGTTACGACTATAAAATACACACAGGACTTGTGCCCCCAACAACAAGACAAACCAAAAATACTCTGCCTGCCCAAAGAACATCTCCATGTACTAGCATCAAGGTACGTACAAAGCTAAGGTTCTGTGGGCAGGTACAAGTAGCTGCAGACTTGCTGCAGCATGTTTTTTATAGAAGAATAAGAGTTAAGACAACCACAGAAACATGTTATTGGTATCATATTGGTATCATATTGTTTTTCTCATTTAAGAAAAAAGCCTCATTGGCAACTGGTCATCTCAAGACTATAAAAAAAAACTTGGGGAGAGAAGCTTTTATCATGTAATTTACATTTGAAAATAATTGAGATAATTTATAAAAATACATACATTTTTAAAAAATCATCAACAGCTACCTGAGTTTATAAATATGCCTCTGCATTCTGACAAGTAAGGGGGTTATATTTGCAACAGGCCAAAGGTCCTCCTCAGGCAGCTTTGAGGTATTCTGAAAATATGAAGCATCACACTCTTCCAGAAAGGTGCAAGTCAAAGTAAGATGATCTGTGGTACGGGAATAGGCAAAGACTCCTTCAGGCAAAATATTCTTGTCATCAAAAGGAAGGCGTTTATAGGTACAGAGAAATGGGTCCTCGTCAACGGAAATATACTTTCTTTGACAACTTGCATCAAGATATCTGAAGTGTTCTGGATAATCCAAGACAAAAAAATAACCAGGTACTTCAGTGCATAGTTTAATTAGATGATCTCTCAGCCACAAGCCAACATCTTGACAGCCATCTGGATAGCTTTCAATTCCTGGTCCAAATCGCTCATCAGATTTGTACAGTCCCTTAAGATACAAGTATACTCATTAGTATCAACCAGAGACCAAACAATTATATACTTAAAGCCTGGTTACTATTTAAACTGTTCTGCTCGAGTCTTGTCTGTTCATTTCTTATTGAGAGAGTAATAACTGCTGAAGTCATTCTGTCCTACAAAGCCTTCATAGTCACTTCAGTCCATCTAATGTCAAACACATTAACTGTTCTAGTACAATAGAAGGCCGTAGATTTAACTCCACTGCAATGTTACATTTAGATGAAGTTCTATGTAGATGTGAATACATAGAACTATGTAAAAACCTCAAATTTTGCCTGAAAAAAGGAGAAAAAAAATCCTCAAATTTTCCTGCAGTCATGCTGTCTTTGAAAATGAAGGGAAATCCCAGAATAGAACATTTTTCCAGTTACCTGAAATTTTCTGCCATCCTTCCACTCCAGAGTTCCATAGCCTTCTATATGACTAAGATAAAATGCTCCAGTGAATTTTGAACCATCAGGCCAGTAGCAAATCCCTTTCCCATGGCGATAGTCCCTGTAGAACTGTCCCGTGTATCTCTGTAACCCACCACAAAGAGAAAGAACAATAAGAATGAAACAATCTGAGGGCAGAAATAAGTGAATTTTTAATTGCCTCCTGGATGCAGCACAAACAACATGCACGAAACTGAGGATGTAACTGTTATCCATTTAAGAAAGACCGGACAAAATCTCAACTCTGCCGTAGTCCGTAGTCACTTCAAAACTCTGCCAAGATTTCTCCACTTAAATAATACCACTTAATATCACTTAATAATAATACCACTTAATACCACTTAAATCAAAACCTTAATTCCTTAAACGTTTTATTAAAGGCATTTATGGATCTTCAGTGTGTGTCTCCAAATTAAATCTGCTACATATCTTAATCAATCACATAGTTTATTAAAAGTGTAACAGAAGGGAGAGGGTGAACCCTACTGAGAACAACATCCTGGTATTCTGTAGCATAAACTTTGAATATTTTTAGTTAAAAAAAATTGCTAAGTTCTCTAAGGCCTAGTAACATGATGTGCCATAGAGACCGTATCGAGGTCACCAGTTCAAATTCAGTCCAACTACTACCCTCTATCAAATGAGCTGCCACCAAGAAATCATCACCAAGGGCAAGGAGCTGTTAACTGCTTCTGCCTCATACATGGTAGGATGTTGCTTAGGATTGCCGGGTTTGTCCCCTAAAGTCATCTCAGTGAGAAACAATGCTGAGTTCCTCATAGCCAGAATCAAGGCAGTGTTGTTCTACTAGATTAAAGACTGATTCTTTGCCAATTTTAAGCTTCCTATCTGTGTAATGGTTTAACAAGTCATGTGCAGAAAAATAGATACTCACTATGCAGACAACTGATCCCTAATGGATAATTTAAATTTTTGTTTCCGTGACAGCTTTCCCTGGGTAACAGCTGACAGCTGGGTCAGGGTATAGTGAAAACTATAGCTCAATAACCACATCTGGCACAAAAAAAACATCAGAAGGGAAACCAAAATATTCATCATTCCTGATAGTATTCTCATCATATAAGGAAGATACACTCACAATTAAGTGCTTCCTTTGAAGAAAAGGAAGCAAACAAGACAAAAGAGCCGGATCTCACACTCTTGCAAACCTCCTGCTACCAACACAAGTGCTCAGAGCTAATCTATGGACAAAATGAAAAAGCCTCATTACTTATGCTTGGCCACATTCAGCATCCACAGCAGAAATGGAGAGAAATTGGGTTCCTGGGAGCTTTCCTTCTGCCTGCCCTGTGTAGCTGTACCTACATGTCCCAGCCATGGGCTCAGCCAAGTAGATGACAGCCTCCCTGATGACAACTGCTATACAAAAAGTCCAAACTGCCTAGCTTGCCCCAAACATGGAGGCAGAGGAGAGATGCAAGTCTAGGACAAACGCGCAGTTCAGACATTGATTTCCCATGCACCTCGCCACCGCCAGGCACCCCCACCTCCTCCTCGCTGCTGCCCTCGGAAACTCGCTGGGCCATGGCTGCAGCTGCCACGGGCGGCCGGGACAGCTCGATGTGGCGAGTGGCTGGGGTTAGGCAGGCGGGATCCGCAAGGGCTGTGCTCCGCGGCACCTGCGTTGCCATGGAGACAGCGTCCGGGCAGCGCACAGAGGCCCGGGAGCGTCTCGGCATAGGCCTGAGGAGAAAAGACTCTTGGTCCTCACCCACCATCTGTGGGTGCCGAAGCTCCCCCATTCCCATGTGCACTTGTCTGCCCTCACCCTGTCATGGGCATCATTGAGGTTCAGTGTCTGGAAATGGCATCCTTCAAATGTTCTGCATCAGGCCACCCCTCACCTCCGGCTGGGGAGACATGAGGAGAGGACTGAGCATGACACAGCCCAGCAGAGAGGAAGGACCGAGTGCTGTGGGTGAGGTAGGAAGTCTCCCCACTGTCGGCGTATGATATGGAGGCCCTGGAACACCTTGACCCTCGAGAAACAGCCTGGTAGTAGCGAGGCCCATCTGCCCCACCTCCCTCAGATGCATGCAACTCTCCTGGTGTGCTCCCTTGGCCTCATGCACAGGGGTGTCATACCACTGGGACCACTTCTCAGATGGCTGATAGACTCCATGCTTGTCCAGGGAATAGCAGCAAGTCCAGAGCTTTGTCTTTGCTTACCTATCTCCTGAAGAGGGAAATGGCATTTCCAGTAAAGCTGTGATGATTCCAAGCTGAGATCTGTTGGCAAGACACACACACACACACGCACACACACACACACACACAAAAAGAGGTGGATTAATTTGGAATAATTTTTCTTCTTGACAAAGATCAAGCAGAGAAAGAAAACTCTCTGTCTACTCTTAAAAAGGCTTTTTTGTTGAACATAATTGGGTGGTATAATTAGGTGGCATAATTAGATACCCTGGCACACTAAAAAATATTGATAGTGATGTCTCCAGAGACCTGGGTTGCCAGATTCCATGACAGTTGAAGTCAACATGGGTTGGTTTTGCATTTTAAAGCAAACTCACAAATGACAGACTTTCCATTATAAAAAGAGCCAGCTAATCAGTTTAACCCCTCACCCCTTTCTTTGTAAAGAAATAAAACACCATTAATCTGAAGCTAGTAAGTTACTTTAGAGTAAGAAAATACGACTTTTCCTTAGTCTCCAGTCATTTTTAGCATGGTATAAAATCATCTGGGCTTTAAAAACTTTTGATTTGTAATTTTATTTGTTTCTGGGGGAAAGACTTACCAGTCTCTGGTTTAATTTCCAGGATTCTGCTTAGGATGTACCTGCCAGAATTAGTGAAGCCATAAACTTCATGACAGAAATTTGACTGTTGAATCAGTAATGAAGAGAAATCAGTGCATTGTAATCTGAATACAATAGACTGGACAAGCAATAACAGGGTAAGAAACATCCCATAGAGTAAGTGTACTTCAGATGTTTTAAAGTGGAAATGTACTCAATATCTGGTAAATTCTGCTGGAGCAGAATGTGTGAATCTTAGCTCACTCACCTCTTATACATCCCTTTGAGAAACGTGGAGTAGTTTCTATGGTAAGCTATAACAGAATCACAGGAGAGTTGAACTGGAAGGGACTTTTGGAGATCATCTAGTCCAAGTCCCCTGTTCAAGCAGGGCCACCTAGAGCATGTTGCACAGGATCACATCCAGGCGGGTTCTGAGTATCTCCAGAGAAAGAGATGCCTCAACCTTTGTGAGCAGCCTGTGCCAGTGCTCTGTTACTCTCACAGGAAAGATATTTCTTTTCATATTCAGGTAGAACTTGCTGTGTTTCAGTTTGTGCCTATGTCTTTTGTTCTCTCTCTGGCCACCGCTGGAAAAGTTTACTTAGACTTCAGCAAGGTGTTTGACACAGTTTCCCACTGCCTTCTCCTGGAAAAGCTGAAAGCTCATGGCTTAGACAGGGGTACTATTCACTGGGTAAAAAGATGGCTGGACATCGGGCCATTCACCACCCAGAGTGTGGTAGTGAATGGAGTTAAATCCAGCTGCTGACTAGTCATGAGCAGTGTTCCCCAGGGGTCAGTGTTGGGGTCAGTCCTCTTTAATATCTTTATCCATGATCTGAATTAGGGGATTGAGTGTACCCTCAAGAAATTTTCAGATGACACCAAGCTGGGCGGACGAGTTGATCTGCTTGAGTGTAGAAAGGTTCTGCAGAGGGATCTGGACAGGTGACAGGCTATGGGCTGAGGCTGACCATATGAGTTCAACAAGGCCAAGTGCCAGGTCCTGCACTTCACTCAAAACTACCCCATGCAGCACTACACACGTGGGGCAAAGTGACTGCAGCGCTGTGTGGCAGAAAAGGATCTAGAGGTGTTGGTCGACAGCCGGCTGAACATGAGCCAGACACACTTCTGGTGTCCAGATAGCCAAGAAGGCCAAAGGCCTCCTGGCTTATATCAGGAACAGTGTAGCCAGCAGGACTAAGGAAGTGATTTCACAGGTATTTATTTATATCTGAGCATTGTCTACACTACAACTTATCACATTAGAGCTTGACTTGTAATAATTATGGGCCAAATAAATACCCCTTACCTTGTTACCACTTGAGCATGTTTCCTTCAGCTGTCACAACTGCTTCCAAACCAACCCGTAAAACCCTCTGCCAGTAGTAACTTTTCCCCTTCTCAGGTTTTCCTTTCCTGCCTTTCTTCCTGGGTGCATTTCCCCTTCCTTCCCATACTCACTTGCCTCTCCCATGTGACTCAGGCCAACTGGACTCATCTGCACAAAAGGTTTATGGCTATCTTCTTAGGCTGGCAATAGACAGAGCAGCCAGCTCTAGGAGAAACACAGCTTGTGTCAGTTTTGACATTTGACTGCAAACTTGTTGCAAACCATATCATTCACAAGCACCACTGTCTCACCAGGTCTTGTTCTGAAAAGCAAGCAGTGTCAAGGGATAGAAGAGGGGAGGTCTTGGGACAAAGGGTAGAGAGCAACTAACAGTATTGTTTTTCCTACAGGAGTGAAAGGAGAGCCTGGATTTCCAGCAGCTCTGGCTGAGTTTCACAGGCCACCTCTGGCTGGGTTTCAGGTGCCTTTCTGACAAAAGGACTCAGAAGATTCTTAAACACCTCTGGTGGCACAGACCTGAAGTCTCTGCAACAGAAATTCTCTGGGCCGGGCATGGACAGGTCCAGGGCATATGTGCTGAAAGCATCACTCTAGACTGGTGATCTAGTGCCTTGATCCAGCATGTTGTTGAGCAGTAACCATCACTCCTGTGTGTGGTTACTGACCACTGGGAGGTCAGATGGTTGTGTACTATGTCACTTTGACATAAAGACAAAGCAACAGATGAGAGCTGCCTTGCCTTTTTTCCTATTTATTTATTTATTTATTTATGGCATCAGCATCAGAGGCCTCATTCCTGTGTGCATTCTTATCTACATTTTCTTCTGTTCAGCTCTGATCCAAAGACTCTGTGGATGCCCAAATAATCGCACTGTGGAAAGTGCAAGTACAGGACTGTGCAATATACTTACAGGTCATGCTTCTGCATCGGGTACACCTTGTTACACAAACACTGTGCTGGAAAGACACAGCAGGTCAACCTCCCAGCCATGGGAAGACTATCCGTCCTCTGTCTCCAAGTTCTGCCTGAAGACTCCTTCTAGGGATGAACTTAAAAGTTGTCTTATGTGAAAATGCCCAAACGTTTCAAGGGACTGGACTTTGGAAGGAAAGATAGCTTTCCTCATAACACAAATGACTTCTCATGTGAAGGGCTAAGAAAATTGGGCTTCAGCACCTCCACATACTTTGTGTTTGGATGTAGCAGACCCCAGTGGTCTATAACCTTCTGTCAAAATGAACACAGGATCTTCAGATTTTCTGAAGGTTCTTGTGGGTGGGTTGCATCTGAAGAGCAATTAATGCGCATATGAGTTAGAGAGCATCAAACAAACTGCAGCTGGGGAAGGGAAATCATTTCACTGTGGCTGGGTCCTGAGGAATTACCAGAGGCTGCTCAGATAGAATAGGTGAATCTAAGTCCCTCTATACTATGTTTGTGTTGCTGTTGCAGTCCTGTCCCACGCTAACTGAAGTGGTGTTATTTAAGAGGCTGGCTGACCCTGTTACAAACCAAGGCCATAGGGGGACAATTGGGTCAGGATATCACTCTCTTACAGTTAATTCTGTTCCATAAATGTCCTTTAACTAAAGCTTTCTATTATCTATTACACTGAAATGAAGCATGAAAATGGTCATTTACATGTTTTTGGTGATACGCAGTAGACCTAGGATCATGAAACACACAGGAACCCAGGATTGAAGTGGGAAAGAACCACTAAACTTTATTCCCAAATGGCATTTTTAAAAAAAAAAAAAACACCTAACAAAGATATATTATAGGACATGGAAATGCATGGGCTCATGGGACACAGCATGACCTGGTCCATGCTGTCAGCATCTGCAGAGCATGAGAGTCAACAGGGGAGAGAAGAGGTTGTTCCTGTTCAGATCTGGTGAAGTTGAGCCAGCTGTGTCATCCAGACTCTCCACCCATCATTGTGGTTGTTTCAGTTCAGAGTCAGAACTCCAAGATACAAAATTCAGCTACTGACCTGAACTTCGTACTAGATTGGTGTGAGCAAGTTTGACCCTGCCTTTCCTGTAAAAAGCAGTCCCAGTGTGAGGGCTCACAGCTAATAGAGATCTCAATGTTTTCCCATGCTCATCTCTTCCTCTATCTTAGAAAGCCTTGCTCTACTAGACACACCAGCCAAATTTCCATACTGCCTCCGTTCCCTGGAAGCGCTCAACATTGGCTGCTAGTCCACATGGTTCTTGCAGAGGGTCTCCGTCCCTTCACCTCAGTCCCAAGTGTCTTTGCAGTGGATACCAAAGGTCCTTCATGAAAGTATCTAGGGTCTTTCTGTCATGTGAGATTTGGCATGTGTTCTCATCATGGGAACAGATGGATGCAAAAGAAGCCCAAAGAAACAGCTCTGAGTCCAGACTTTGTGGTTGCTCACAATGAAACCTGGAGGAACAAGTGTCATGCAAAGCCAGTCCCACCTGCCACATCTATACTGGAAGACTGAACAACTCTTGTTTTCTGGCGCCAGGGCTACATGGTCCAGCCTAGCTGTGTCCAGATCACCAACCTCTTTCTCCTTTCAGAATACCCTGCACATCCCACTGAGGAAAACCCACTGGGAATAGTTGCTGGCAACTCTGTTAGCAATCAAACAATGACCAAGAAAGTTGGGGGCAATGCTGATGGTAGGGGTCAGCTCCATACCAAGGAGGCACCAACACATTAATCTTATCAACAATGGCAAGACAGCACCTAGGGCCACGTAACCACAAATTCCAGTGAAAGCATCATTGTTGACCTTGTTTGGCGTCAGTGTCTGTCTGGCCAACTTAAAAGGACTGTCTACCTCATCACAACTCAGGACATGTTGACAAATATCCTGTACACTGTACGAAGAAAAATATCCCCACAGAGCTGTTTAATTTAGGAGCAGACTCCTTACATCTGGGCAGACAAATAAAACTGAAAGAACCTCCTTCATATTAAAGCTTCACCGGACTATCCAACAAACCACATGCCATTTCTACTGTGTCTCAGCCCCGCAGTTGTTACTTTGCAGGATCAGGCCAGGTAGTGCTGGAGGAAGCATCAGGCTGATCTGTGGTACGACAAATATCTCAAACATCAGCACCAAGTCTTCTTTGTCTTTGAGTGGGGACAACTTGCAGTAAAGGAGTCCTGCAAAATAGCCTCCATGGACAAGACACTTTCACCCAACACCAGGCCATATGAGAGAGCTGTATGTCGCCTGTCTTCCTTTATCCTATTCTTGTGCAGGAAGAGCAGAGGAAGAGTAGATTCCAGCTGGAGGCTAGGCAGCATGGAGAAAGCTAGAGAAAGGCTATGTGAAGGCAATTCACCTAGCCAGGGACTGGTACAAGGTAGACAATAATCCTCCGTTTTCCATGGCCTTCGGGAAAGGTTTTCTATCCTTAATTCAGGTGTTAGGATGTATCACTGGTATCCTCATTATCAAGTCTATACCACTATGGAAGAAAAAAATTATTCTCACTCAGCACAAAGTTTCCTGGAGAGTCTTGGGAGGTTGCAATTAGCAATGTCAGTTCAATTCTGGCAGCCAACTATGAATTATGTGATTTCCTTCTGATACTGTACTGTGACACAGGTCATGGCTGATTCTGACTGGAGATACACATGCATATCAGTGTTGTTTTCACTGATGTACTCCATTTCACTCCACTGGTCTGAAGGTCCCAAAGTGGCACAAGTCAAGAAGTGACCACTTTCCCTTTTTCAGACCAAAAAAAAAAATCTTATTTTCTCCTTGCTTTGCTCCTCCCAGCTAGCAGTACAGGAATTCACAGGAATTCAGCTGGGATGAAGATATTTATTGGGTAGTTTTACTCTTGAAAATAAGATTTCTTGTGCACAAACATCAGCATACCACAAGAGCTTGGTGGGGTGGCAGGTCGGATCAACAGATGGTCTCTGAACATTTGGCTGAGCTGATCACTCTGGTGCCATTCAGTGCATTTCACATCGGCTCCTTGTTCCTTCAGGTCCCCAGTAAAAATGCACTGTGTGCTTCTCCGGTGCCTCTGTTGTAGCACACTGACAGCAGTCCTTTATACAGTACAGAGACACTGGGCTCCATAGGACACTACACCCTTGTCTTCAAGAATGTGAGGAACCTCTATTAAGGTCTACCACTACACAGGAGGAAGACGCTCAGTTGAAGATTCCACTGTACACACACTTTTTGGATGGATAAAAGATCCTTGCTTCAAGAGCTTACAATCTATAAAAACAGAACCACAGCTCCACCACTGTACAGACATTACATCTACTCACACTCACAAAAAAAAATGATCCTAGTAGAACATCAGTTTTTCAGAACCATGGCCCAGCAGGCAGTTGATCTGGGGGTTGGGACTAGATCGTTCACTCCTTTCCCTTAATTTGCAATGCAAGAGCATTTCTAGTTACAGTTCTTCCTACCTCTGGTTTGGACCTGCAGCCCTAGCACTCTCCTCCAGCCTGCAGAGGAAAACATGGTGACAACAGAAAGTCCTTTTCTGACAGTGTGAGGCCTAGGGCCCTCAAGGGTTCCATTCCTCTGAGAGGCCATGGGGTGTTGAGCCAGGCAGAGAACTTTCCATGAGATGTTTTGTGACATCCTGCATATTTACAGGCTCAAACAGCTGTTTTGGCCTTGCAAGTTGTCACTGCCAGATTTGTCACTGTTCATTTGCAGTGGGATGAGGAGGGGTGAGGCAAAGCCATCCATCTTTGAGTGCTGGGTGAGGACAGTGGGAAGAAATCCAGGCTGCCACTGTGCTGAGGCAAGGCTCTTACATGACACACAAGTCTGACAAAGTTTTTCTGAGAAGAGATACTAGTTAGTTTGTATCTTGATAAGGCACACCCTTCTCCACCCCTCAACCAGTCCCAGGTTAGAGTCCCATGAGCAGCCTGGCAGGACCTCAACATCCAAGCCTGGCACCTCAGCACCCAGCCATGCTCTGCACACAGTGTCAGGAGACCGCATTGATAAGGACACACCACTAGAAACACTGCAGAAAAAATCTGTCCCTGCAAGGCTGTTGTTTTAGGTGTTTTAAGGCTTTTACCTACAAGGCAACTCTGAGGGCTCACTGAACTCCCCAAAGCCCCTCTCCTTCGCTTTGCACTGACCTCCAGCCTCCAGGGAGGCTATTCCCAACAGCTGGAGCAGCAAGAGAAGGGGAAGGCCCTGGGACTACGTGGGGATGGGAAGCAGGAGACAACGAAGTTTCTGTTGGGGGTTCAGAGAGCATCCTTAAGGGAAGTCAGGTCCCTGGCCTGCCCTCCAGGATCTTCAGGATCTTTTTTTTTTCCTTTTTTTTTTTTTTTAATAAGCAAAGCTGTTCAGTGTCCAAATTACATCTGTTAAAAACCTTAGCTAGGAAAAATATATTCTCAGTAAGTCCCTTCTCCATTTTTATCCTTGTTTTACATCCAACAAATTAGAAACTGAGACTATGATTAAATAAATACCAGTGCATCACTTAGCGCTTCCCTTTCCCACCTTCCTTCTTCACTCCTGACCCTGCAAACAGTTATTTTACAGTTTGTGCAATACTCTATCAGGCTTCACAGGAAGCGGCAGGTCAGCCCGAAAGCTGATTGTCCTTCCTAGGCTCCAGGCTCTCTGCAACATCTTCCAGCTCCTCCAGGATTTCAGAGAAGGACGGTCTCTTAAATGCTTCCACCTGAAAGAAGATGGCAACAGCTGTAGAGGACAGGTAGTGGGCATTGTGTAGCAGTTCTCCTGGGGCACTCAAGGCTGGGCAGCAATACTCATTCAGCCATCAGTGAAGGCCTGGAACATACACACAGCAGGGGAGCCTTCTAGTATCACTGCATGACGGTCAAGATCCAGGCTGCTGGCTGTATGACAGACCCCACATTATGGGATGGAGGAAGCAAAGGCAGTCTGCAGGAGGGTTGCTGAGAAACAGCCCAATCTAGGCCTAGCATGCTTTCCACCATCAACAACAAGGTGTGAGAAATGTCAACCCCAAATCACATTTGAAATGTTTAGGGCCAGAAGTTATGAGGGGGAAAGATTTGAGGGTGGCATCAGAAGGGAGATGCCTTGTCCCTCCAGCTTTTTCACTATCACAGAATCACAGAATGGTTGAGGTTGCAAGGGACCTCTAGGGATCATCTAGTCTAACCTCCTGCTCCACAGGGACACCTAGAACACATGGCACAGGGTCACAGCCAGGTGCGTTTGGAAGATCTCCAGAGAAGGAGATTCCCCAGCCTCTCTGGGCAGCCTGTTCCAGGGCTCTGTCATCCTCACAGGAAAGAAGTTCTTCTTCACATGGAGGTGAAACTTCCTGTGTTTCAAGACGTACTCATTACCCCTTGTCCTGTCACTGGCCACCATTGAGAAGAGCCTGGCCCCATCCTCCCTACACTCTCCCCTCAGGTACTTGTATATATTGATAAGATCCCCTCTCAGTCTTCTCTTCTCTAGGCTAAACAGGCCCGTCTCACTCAGTCTTTCCTCATAAGATAGATGCTCCAGTCCCTTAATCATCTTTGTCGCTCTAAGCTGGATCCTTTCTAGAAGTTCCTGGACAGACTATTCAGAATCTGTCTTGTTTCCCAGATATAGCTCAGTCTCTGTGGGTTGTGATGCTCCAGCTGTCCCAGTTCCATTAGAGAATGCTGAAATCCTCAAAGAGGTGGTTCATCCCATTTCCTCTTGAACTACAGAGAAAGCAGGTCCCCCTCAATCTCTTACAGCAGAGACCACATCTCATATCTAGAAAGAGACAACCTCAACTCCTTACATGCGGGTGAGGACCCGGCCCAGGGCACAGTACCTTACCACTACAACCATAACAGTCATAGTTCTTGCTCTCACCATGCCTTCCTGAGGCTTCCCTTGTCCTTACCACGCTATCTGCTCAACCCACAGTGGGGCAGTCCAAGGAGCCACATGAGGAGGAGGGAGCCCAGGAGGTCACTCCTTGTACCTGTCCACTATGCAAGCACAGAAAATAACAGACCTGCGGGCTATTTCTGGCAGAAGCCAGATATTAGATCAACTTGTGCTCTAAAATTGCCTTTCAGAGTTACAAGAGCTCAATATATTCAAATCTAAGCCATTTCCTGACATGAACCACACCTCTGTTCAGTTTAAGTTATTCGTATGTCCTTAGAATTCTCTTCCATTAGGTGTCACAAGCACCTAGAAATTAGTTGCATTATAATCACCTAGCTTCTCCACTTTCTGCCAGGCTGTCACCTTTAAAAGATTTAACTTGAATGTTTGCTTTATTTCTGCTTTGCCCCTGAGGTTTTGGGCAGCACGGTGAGGCTCTCCAGCTTTCGCCATTACCTTCTATGTCAAAACAAGAAAGGTTGGAGAAACATGATCTGATGGTATCAGTAGGGCAGGTAGCAGCAAGCTGGCATCCTCCAGAGAGTGTCAGCCATCACCTCTTCCTTGACTATAGAGGAAATGGACACCTTGCAACACCCTGGTGTTGATGTGTAAGGCTTTGGGACATTTTGGGCTGCCTTTAATGCTGCAAATGGAGAATGTCAGGAGCTAATCCTAAATCTAGTGCCACAGCCCAGGGAGCAGAGCTCTGTGTGCTGCCACTGAGAAGAGCAGTTTTGAGCCTGGGGTGGATCATGGGAATTTTAGGCTCTATTATACTAGTGTGTTATAAGCTCAGTTATCTTATGGGGGGAAAAAAGAGAAAAAAGAAAGAAAAAGAAAGAAAGCAGCAAGAATCTTACCCGACAGCAGCAAGCAGCAAGGTCCATTACTTGCTTGGGGCATTCACTGATCATCCCTTGAAAGGCAGTGACATCCAAGCCATAATCCTGTAGGGAATGGGAAGAACATGGATCAGTAACTGGTCTGGCAGAGGGGAATTAGTCGCAGCTACATGGGACCAGGGCTTGAGCTTCTGCAAGAGGAGGAGAGAAGTAGGCTGGTGCAGTCTTAAAACTTTCTCTGTCCCACAATTCCTTTTGCTTCTCGAGATAGACCTCCCCCGGGGTCTTCTCCTCTTAGCTGCAAATGCCATCCTTTTCTCAAAACTACCAGAGAAAAAGGGGTTTTACTGTGAGAAGGGATGAAAAGATAGAAGAGATTCATCTACAAACTTCTTTAAAAGCTTTCTACCATTCTCGGGGTGTCACAGTACATAAATGCTCATGGATTAAAGCATTTAGGTTCTCTATCACAGCCATTGATGGCTTTCTCTCTAGCACTAATGGCTATGCAAAGGTCTATGGGGGACCATTAGCCCTGCTAGGAGTGAGCAGATGGTAAGGCATTATCAGAACTGGGAGAAGTTGCAGCTCCCTTCTGCTGGCCCTGTGCTCTCCCTGCTGGGCAGGATATGTCCTCCCAAAGGAAAACAGATACTAAGGCAACAAAGAGATGGAAACCACCTACAGAGGAACCAGCAATAGGTAAGGTGCTGAGCAGTGAAGGCTGACGTCATGAACTGAGGATAAGGTGATTATCCAGCAAGAACTAAGAACTGCGTGGGATTGGGCCAGCTGTTTCCATAACTACAGCTTCACCCCTTCACACTCCCTCACACATAATTTTCATTCCTCTTGTGAACACAGATGGAGCTCTAGTTTCTGTTCAGTCTCATAGAAACATGGAATAATCCCCGTTCACTACAGATTCTTTGTTTTGTTCCAACAAGTTTGTTTAGAAAGAAAGTATTTTTCTGCTGGATTTTTCACCCTTGTTCAGGAACAAAATAAAGGAGCATAATACTTTGTGGGAGGGAAATGTTGCAAATGTTAAAATAAAAGACCATGTTTTCTAGAGAACTCCACTGTTTTCACATGAACTACCTATTAATTTCAACATAGTTCATTTCAAAATACAGGTTCGTCATGACGGTTTTATTTAATTTGCCACTTCAGCGTAAAAGCTGGCATGTCATAGCTGAATTAAATATTCCATATGAAAGTTTTTAATAAAAATATTTTATCTCAAGTGATTTATCTAACAAAAGCACTGAAACTGTGCATGATCACTATTGCCTAAATAAGCCACTTTTGACTAAATAAGATTTCTCAGTCAAAAAAATTCTAGAAGGAAACCAGAGCTTGTACATCTGTGTGTGTATATACACATAAAGATCCAGCATTACACCATTTGACTACCCTGGTTTCAAGACCATACTGTCCAGTGAGAAGCCACAATGCACTACAATGGAGAAAGGGTTGTTAAATTTGGTTCCAGAAGTCCTTACCTGAGTCCTGGGAAGCACTTCAGGGTCAGCAGGTATCCTACCCAGGATTTCACAAAGGACAATGCCAAAGGAGAACACATCCACCTGCAGCAGGGATTGCAGAGAGGTGCATTTAGGTGTGCACAGAAGTAAAGCATCAGAAAAAGTAAGACTAATATACGGTTCTCCTATTAGTCATGCAAAATCCATCAAAGGTCTTTTGGAGATGGGGGGGAAGCTCTTACAGAGCTGAACTGCTGGGTTTCTGAACCCATCGAGAAACATATAACCCCACTTGGGTTCGGTTCCTTCTCCGGAAAAAGTGCTACCATTCCCTTGTTCAACATATTCAACGTAGCTGGCACTTCAATCATAGCTCTGCATGCCCCATAAGTCGCTTACAATAGTTTAACTGGGCTGTAACTCCTCAGCCATCTTCCTTGGAGACACTTCACTGTCTTTGTCCAAAGCAGGAATCCATTCCACTGAGAGCTTAAGAGTCTAAGAGTAACTTAGCAAGGCCACATAAGCAACTTTCAAGTCTAAACAGAGCATTATCAAGCAAAGGTCTAGGTACAAGAACAAAGTTACCCAGGTAATGAGGAAAAGGTTTTCTTGCTGTTGAGATATGTCACCAACAAGCAAAGGAGACATTCCCTGTGCATGCCCAGGAGCTCTGAGGATAAACAAGGAGCTGGGAAGCAGTAGCATACCTTCCGGTCATAGGGCTCTCCCCGTAGCATTTCAGGAGCCATCCAGAAAGCAGAGCCCACCAGAGACAACTTCCTCTCCACGTTCTTCACGGGCAGCTCCACCACCTCCCTGGCCAGCCCAAAGTCAGTCACCAAGGCTTCACGGCCCCGTGGAGTTACTCGAATGAGACAGTTCTGGAAGCAGCCCAAGAGGACATAGCATGAGATGCCCAGGACATAGCATGAAATGCCTAGGCAAGTAAGAGTCTGGCAATTTTACCATATGGTGCTTCACCAGCACTCAGCCTCACCTAACTGTTACAGGTTCTCTCCTTGTCAGATACCTTCATCATCCTGGCAGGACATACTAATGCGCATGGAGCAGATGCTAGACCTGAATCAATTCCATCTGGAACGATTTGATGTTTAAAAATCAGTTTGAATGAACTGTTCTTCATCCTGTATCCATGGAAGACTTCTGGTTCACCACCCATTCCATGCCTGGGCTCTGGCAAGAGCCCTCATTACATCAAGACCTTTGCTCATTCATCACCACAGCACCTTCAGCTCCCTGATGAATCAAAGCACTAACCTTGGTCCTAAGAAACCTGGATTGAAATCTGCAAAGTTGCTCGACAAGGACATGATTTTCCACATCCTTTTATCTGAAACAGATCCAGAAGTCGGTACTTCAGCCTTGCTCACTGCTCAACCAAAAGTATGCAGGATTATAGCCACAACCTTTCTTACTGAGCAGGGTTATATGTTCCTTAAATGATGGTTGTTACCTTTCTAGGTTCTCAGCAGTGTTTTGCAGTGCCCTGCACATTCCTGCCAAGTACAAAGCAAAAGTATTCTCAAGTGGAGAATATGTTTATTATAGATCAGGTATAGTCTCAAGACAAATCAGTTTCAACCAAACAACACATAAAGATGATTTACTCTTCAGTCGTACACTAGCTGGTTTCTTTATGGAACAATTTCTATAGAACTCTCTCAAGGTTTCTTGAAAATGCTAGTGGTTTCAGCCTGTTCAGTTCTTTAGGGTTTCCTCCTTAGCATCTTCTCTAAAAGAGTTAACACAAACAACAGAGAGACTCTCCAGATAGCTCTCACTAACAACCAGATTTCAAGTGAATACATATACTTATCCCTCTCATATCTTTTTAGACACCATCATTACAGGAAAGCCCAAGATTCCTGGGGGAGGATAAAATTCTTCACGGCTCAAGTACTACCTTGAATAGACACAATGGACAGGCAGTAACCTCAGACATTCATCGACTTTCCACAGGAAGATCTGGAAAGCTCCTGAGCTCATCATTACCAAATAAGAAATTATATCTCAAATAGCTTGGCACACTGGCCAAGAGACCTGTGGTCAGAATGAACCAGGTGATTACCTAGTTTTCAGCTCATGTTCATGATTTCATGGTCAATACCTGAGCAACCAAACAGCTGAGAGATTAAAAAAGCAGGTTTGCTTCCTGTGCTGATGTCTCAAGACTGTAATGCTTGACTGGTTTGGCCACTACTTCATCAATATTTCAAGTTTCCTTTAAAAAGCTCACAGAGCACTGACAGGAAGAGCCTGTAAGAGATACACCACTAATCACACATCATCAACTGCAATGACTTGCAAACTTCATTTCCGTAAATGATCAGGCCAGCCTCTGGGTTCAAATTACTCAGATATGGTCCAGGCTGGTGGTCAGCCCCCAAACTTACATGCAACCCTCTCTCTCTGATATTGTAGACATGCTGGAGATGCACCTGAAGAGTCCAAGCGTAAGTTTTGCCCAAGAGTGATCAACAACAAGGTACTGCCCCATCATGTTGCTACATCCACATCAGTGGGAAAGCAACAGCCACATCACAGACTATGCCTACGAATACACCTGAGAGTCATAAAGACTCACCATTCTACCTGCCACAATCCAACTGCCACATGTCCAGGCAGAGGAAGGCAAGCCTTACAGACAGAAGGTCAATATGCCAGAAACATGATGTGCCTCTGCATTACACCCAAAGCCACTGGCCTGTCTTCAGAAAGCAGTCTTCACTGGGTGCATGCTGACGAAGTGTGAAATTGCTGAGGAGGTCATTAACCTATATGTGTGGACTGAAGTGTAAAGATATAGGATGTGCAATCTCCCACCACGTGAGGAAGGAGACATGTCCTCAGGGCGGCAGTGTTGCTCTGAATGCAGACAGCACACTATCCCACACAAAGCTTGCTCACAGTGCTCATAACCAGCTTTCTACTAACAGCAGCTTCCTACTTGCTGTGAGCAGGAAAAGAAAACTGTAATTTGTGCAGAGCTTATCTTGCAACTGTAGGTAGAGAAAACCATGTGCAATCCTGAGCACGTTTCCACTTACTTCCTTTTCTGACAGCAGCCACACTAGGAGGAATATATTTTTATCTTTTCCTGGGTTTCCTGCTTGACATGTGGTGAATGCACTGAAATTAAAGGATTTTTCAAGCTTCCCTGCCAGGCTAACACAGAACAGAGGATCAACATGAGGCCTGAGGCCTACTGGTTACAGCCACTAAGTCCTAATTCCCTTGACTCAGCCTGCCTTCAGCAGCTCAGGGGAAACATCCCCTTTCCAGCTGCGTACCTTGGAGTTGAGATCCCGGTGGTAGATGTTCTTGGAGTGCAGGTAGATCATGCCTCTAGTGATATCGGAAGCTAAGTCCACTTTCTCCTTCCAGGTCAAAGCGATGTCTTTGCTAGCCAGGAGCTCCTCCAGGCATCCTCCATTCACATACTGTGAACAGAAGAAAAAAAAAAATGGGAGGCTCTGGAGCTGGTCCCAGGCACTCCTGGAGCCTAGATGTAAAATAATCACCAGAACAGGGAACTCCACTTTTGGTCTCACCTGCAGTGAGATGTGTGCTATGCTGTGCTCTCACTACTTCAACTCTTTTTTTTTTTAGGCACCATTTAGGCTTTTACTTTAGGCTACACCACCATGCCAGAGCCATCTTATGTCTGTGCCTGCTAGCCTGTGTCTCCTTGTTTTCTACTCCATCCCTTCCATCGCCTGGCTCCTCTACTCACCCCCGGGATGGCCCATTCTGGCTTTCTGGTGGCACTGGGCCAATGTGAGACATCTCTTGGCTATTATGCCTGAACCTCTTGGCACTGCAGTAACTGTGCTTCACTCTAGCTGTGAGCAGTTGTGGATGAGAGAGGACCAAAAGCCTGTGCAAGTACCAAGAAATCCTGCTAGACCAGAATCATTTACAGACCAAGGTGTGGCAGAAGCCCAGATGCGCATTTCAGGTTATCTACTATCCTCCCTAGCAAAGAACTGAAAGGCTCTTGCCTGCCCGCAGCACACTTACAGCAGAAAACTTTACCTCCAGAATGGGGTATAGCTTGTCATCCTTCACGCATATCCCGAGGTACCTAAGGCAGAAGGACACACCAGAAAAAAAGCAAGACATTAGGGTTCAATTCAACTCCTTGTCACAGAATTGCCTTAGAGACACTGAGGCACACTTGAGCCCCTACCCGACCCCTCCACTCAGGGCCGGGTGATGTGCTCACCTGACAATATTGGGGTGGGACAGCTTCTGCAGCAGGCTGATCTCACGGATAATCACCTCCTGGTCCACGTCATTCTTGTAGATCTTCACCACCATCACTTTGCAAGTGGCAGCCTGGGTCACCTAGAGCCAAGTTTGGAGTAGGCCATCTCTTAGCTCCCAGAAGTCTGTTAGCAACTTTGAAAATGGCACCCCTTCCCAGCCAAAGACCCAGATCACATTTCCCTGTTGCCAGGACCTTTGCAGAGTCATTCGTACTACTGCAAGGTACTGGCCCTTCCACTCGAGCTGCACTGCAGTGTTGCCTGCCTGGGAGCAGCCAGGCCCCTCCTGCTCCAGCATATCACAACTCTCATCCCCAGCCAAAATCTGAGTGAAACTTAGGCCAGAGCAGTTCTTATACCTACACTGAGGTACTGCAGAGATGTCCTTTTTCTCCCAGTGCCCTCCATTCAATGTTCCTTCCCAAACACAGCCTGTCTCTTTGTCATAAACCCTTCTTCCCAGCCCTCCTGGACCCCTTCCTGCCTGGATCTGATCAGTGCATGGGGCTGCTGGCCATGATTCTTTTCCTTGTAGACTCCTGGGCCCCTTCCCATGACCAGTTGCCCTCTGCACCCAGCATCCGCTGCACAAACGCAGTGAAGGAAGTGCTGACCTAGAACACTTCTCCTCCACATCCTAAAATGGAAGATCCAAATCTAGTCTTCCCAGCCTTATATTAACCTGAAAATCTGCTATGGATTAAAAGACCTATTTCATTCCCACAACTTCCTTCTGGCAAGGATACTGGAAGCCAAAGGACAGAAAGCAAAAACATGTTGCCCATGTTAAAACATGTAGCAGATGGAAGCAGGCATTTTGGGGAGGAAATCCTCTGTCTGCATTGGAGGTATTAAGGATAGGGCAGTACTGGACATGGGGGTTTGATGAGGGCTGCTGGACATACAAGGATTTTGCGACGCTCATCCCCAACAGGACCATGCAGGGTCTCAGCACTGCTGTTCATGACATCTGGGTTGAAGATCCACACAGCAATTTCCAGTCCACATTAAGCCAATATGATACTTTTGGCATTTCCATTCTCAGTTAACTCAGTTTGCTTTAAGGAGAGCCCAGGCACGGGCGAGACCGATGTCCTGACAACTCTCTCAAGGAAAACAGAGAAGATGCATGTTTAACCCAACTTTTTTTTTTCTTTTTTTTTCCTATTTATTTTATGATCCAAATAGATTAAACACAACTTGAGCTGTCTTAAGAGCATTGCTGTCATCACCAAAGCTTGTGCCCACTGCTCTCCATGCAGGCTACTTATGGATAAGGTTACCAGGATCACTGAGGAGAACAAAGAACTGCATGTAAGACTCAGCTGGGCTAGAAAAAGAGAAAGCCTCACTATAACCAGAGTCACAAAACAAACTGTCCTGGGAGCAACATGAACTGCTGCTTCCTTCCTGAAGGAATGCAACCTGATAGTTGATACTTATCGCTGGAAAAACATTGCTTCTTTATTCAAATGGGTCATAAAGAATCCAGAGACCCAACAGGATCACCTAATGGGACTTCATAACCACAGAGCTTGAGTCGCTAATCAGATCAAAGTGATTATTAATTGTAACTGTGATGCTATCAAGCATCTCTGTCCTAAGGTTGTGTGTCCTTATGCCCAAGACAGAGTACAACAAGCAAAAGCAATCCGGAAGCTTGAGAAGCTTTAAGAAGAGCTAATATTCAGTTCTAATAAGACTTATTAGCTCTGCACAAACTATGGTAGAGATCTGCACTGAGTTTCCATTTAAGCTCGTGTTTTCCAGGTAGATGCAGTGCCTGGGTGTTGGAGGAGTATCTATCCGCAGGGAGCACCCACGGCAATGAAAAGTCCAGTCTAGTCTAAACGCAGCAAAACAGAATACATGACCAAAAAACAAGGATGCCACTCAAACAGTGGTGGGAGAGATGGGCAAAGGGAAAGGAGACAGATGAAATGAACAGCGAAACGCAAAAAGAGGGTAGATCTATTCAAGCTTTTTCCAAGTTCCTGACTTGGGTTCTATGCTTTGATTTGGGTAAGAATTGCATATGGGATGACTAAACAACCGGGGAAAAAAGGTCTGTCCGGTAGCTCTGTGCAGCAGCGCAGTGAGGAAGGAGTAAACTTGCACTTGAAAAATGAAGCAGAGAGATGCTGTCAAGCCCACGAGACCAGTCCTACCCTCACTAGGTACTAGATGCAACAGCAACACCCATCATTTCCTCTACAGATGTGACCCCCAGCAGAGAGTGATCCCATATTCTTCTTCCCTGTTCCCTGCCCCTTACCCATGTCAAATGTATTGTGGTACCAAACCCTTCAGGTCTCTCTAGGCACAATATGTCACCTCAAAAGGTGCAAAGTTGGAAAGTGTTTTTTTTGGTTGTCTTTTTTTGTTGTTGTTTGTTTTTTTTTGTTTTCCAAACTGGAGAACACATTCTGTGCCCCTAGGAATCAGATTTCACGTAGCATTGTTCTGAATTGCACACAAAGTTTGTGCTGTCAAGTGTTGACTGAGAACTTCATCAGCTCATGTCTTTTCCCTCATTATTCATTTTAAATTTGTTGACTTCTTCCTCTCCAGCAGCAACTCATTGCAGGCACCATAATCTGGATAATGAAACAGTCTTGTAATGCTAGCCAGTACCATTCTGTGGCATATGTCTCTTTGCTTTATTAATTTTTAACCCAGTCCTAGTCTTCTGTCAGTTTCTTCCGTTATTAGCTTAGATGCAGGAGATTAATTCCTGCTCTGAAACTATCAGACTCACTCTCCATGAAGACCCTTACCTTGAATTTGAGAACAAACTTCTAAGATGGAGTAGAAAGAATAGATGAGAAGAAGAAAGAATAGATAAGAAAGATAAGGAGAAAATTAAAGTTGTCTTTGTGAAAGAAGAAAATCTGACACTTCAAAGCTGCACAATGACAGAGTGGGAGAGCCACAGGAAAAGTTCCTCTTGACCAGTGCTTTAAACCAGTTCCAGAAAAAAAAAAGGGGATTAACTTTGCATTCCTCTTCTGCTTTCCAGCATTTCAGATCCCTACACACCATGAAGTTTCGCTGACAGTTTTCTCCAAGAGAAACTTATACGTGAATTATTTTACATCAGAAAGCCAAGGCAGAGAAGAAGGAGCAGTACCTTATACCCAGCTCATGCAATACATCATTCACTGACATTGTCCTGCCCAAGTTGCTTGTTTCCTAGTCACAAAAAGTGAACCTTTTTTCCTTACTCAACCTACATAGAAAGACCACTGAATGTGAGCTTAACTGAAGGACAAGGGATGACAAAAGCAACTAGCAGTGTTTGAGTGTCAGAATCATAAACGTGGCTTTGGGGAGGCTCTGTCCTCCCTATAGGAGCTCTTTGAAAGACATCCATTAGCAAAAACCTCCCAAGGACCATCACG